TAGTGTTGGATGGCGGTTCATATTGATATCATTCGGAAAAGTGGTTTGTGAGCTCCGCTTCATAGGATTGTGCATTTCTAGCTTAACCTTAACCTATTGACTGGTAAGACGATAACATCGTAACGTTGATAACTGCATATGAAAATGTGGAGCTGAGAATAACCAAGCTTGAAAAAGTAATGCACAAGACAATGCAAGTAATCAGGGACCTTTTTGTAGGAAGATTTCTGTTTCTATACCCGCAGGGAAAAGTGGTATATGAAGTAAAGTCTTCAGGCAAATAACGAATGTATCTGAGAGCAGGCCGGTAGACCAGGGGGGGGGAGGAGTGGTCCGATAAAAGAATATGCAGCAGAACAGCGCCTCGCCTATCTCCACTCCCGTCCTGCGTAAGTTACAAGACATGATCAGGTGTGCAAGATGATTGAGACCTCAAATATACGCTATCGATTCGCTTCGCGATGATTTAATAGGGACAGAAAACACGCACTGGCTGAGTTCGACGACATGGTCGCTCTCAATCAATGACCGTGAATGTTGTGTGCATGATTTGACAACTGGGTTCAGTCATCGAGTTGAGCTCGTAATTGGGAATAGACTCGATAGCTTTGCCGCTCCCACCGAACGTGTGCTCGATCGAAATGGTTAAGCTTGCACGAGGCACAAACTAACTCACCACTAAACTGAATACCACGGGATCTTCAACGAAATAAACCACGGTGACGTGACGATATTCAGCAAAACAAGTCTATGCACTCAAACAGGAAGCTCGCGGAGGGTCACAATATGCCTCAGCGGATAGATACGATACCAAGCTGAATAACTAAATGCTTTTGACGAATATCGCTCGGCAAAGAACAAGCGGTACAAAATAATAGCAAGTGGAATTCTGAATTCTGGTATTTTATGACATTCTCAGACGTCCACATTCGTGTAGATTGCAAACCTCGGAAAGCCTCAGTATGATAAGGTATATGTGTCTCAGGTTGCGCCTGGTCAACCCTCCTTTGCACTTCGTAAAATGCTCCTATACAACCAAGCGTCCCAAAGGGCCTCTGCTAAGGAAGATCTACTTAATGTCTTCTCGTGGCGGGTGTTTTACCACCAAAGTGAGAGATCG